TCAGAGTTGTGTTTTGTTCTTTTTTCTCTTTTATCATAGTTATAAGTATACTAGAGGCCCAGTGCATGAAATTTGTGCACTGGGGGGAAGAGGGTTCCCTTAGCTCAGCCTGCACCCTCTCCAATATGGAATCCCTCAGGGGATATCTGACTGCCTAAACCAGCAGTTGGACATCCCTCTCACAATCTGGAACCACTGGCTCCTACCTGCTCACCTGCTTGCCTGCTTGATTGCCCCTAACTGCCCACCCCCTGTCAGCCTGATCACCCCTAACTGTCTCTGCTTCACAGCTTGATTGTCCCTAATAATTGTCCCCCCTGCTAGCCTGGTTGCCCCCAACTGTCTCCCCACCAGTCAGGTTGCCCCCAACTGCCCTCCTCTCCCCCCATTGACCTGGTCGCTCCCAACTGCACTCCCTGCCGGCCTGGTTGCCCCACGCAGCCTGCTCTTCAGTTGTTTGGTTGTTCCTCACTAACCCCCCTGCTAGACTGGTCACCCGACACAACCTGCTATTCAGTTGTTTGGTCATCCTTCACTAACCCCCCCTGCCAGCCTGGTTGCCCCACACAGCCTGCTGTTTGGTCGTCCATCTGGTCATTTAGGTCGTGATGGCCCCTGGCTTTTAATATATTAATATGGATAGATATACTTTATTTAGTACTGCCAAAGTAACCAGTCTACTTAACCTTTTTCAGTATTCTTATGTTTTACCTAAAAGACTTGCACTATTTATTTTTTAAATTAAAGTATACTTGGTATTCAATATTATTAGTTTCAGGTGTATAACAGAGTGATTCGACATATTTATATCTTAAGATGTGCTCACCATACTAAGTCTAGTAATCATCTGTCTAGTAAACAACTGTGTAAAGCTATCACACTATTATTATTGACTAGATTCCCCTTCACTTTTATCACCCATCCCTTATTCCCTCTGGTAAGCATCTTGTCTTTCTCTGACTTATTTCTGAAAGGTTAGAAATAAATATTTGAAATACCAATCTAGATATTTGTGAGATCACATAAGAGTGGTCCAAAGAAGATCTTAGCAGTTCCCTTTCAATATCCTTCTAACATCTAACCATTGGAATTTTCCTGAATCACTAAAAATAATACTGAAATAATTTGGAGTGTAATGACTGACTAGGATAATCATACTGAGGATTTCACAACTAAGTGTCTTTCTCACACTTTGGAGTGGAAATGATAGAGCATAGCAATCAAAGTAATTTTACGTACTCGTTGCTTAACCTAATTTAAACCAGATTTACAAGTTTCCAAAGTGAACTTGGAAGTATTTATGTTTCTGTATGACATATTAGACTTTTTAAATACAACTAGCTGGTTTGGATCAGTGGATAGAAGGTTAGGCTGTGGAATGAAGGGTCCAAATTTGATTCCAGTCAAGATCATGTGCTCAGAGTATGGGCTCGATTCCCAGTAGGGGATGTGCAAGAGGCAGCAGATGAATGATTCTCATCAAGGATATTTCAACCTCTCCCTCTCCCTTCCTCTCTGAAATCAATTTTAAAAAAATTCTTTAAATAAAGGAATAAAAATAAATACAACTTCCTAGACTCATCTGGAGAGATATATACAAATTAGTTTGTAGTAAAGAAATTATTGAATCTTTTCAACATTGTAGATAAATTAATCTCATTGATTTTTTAATTTTTGAAAAATAACATAGAATAATATAAATATCTTTGTATGTAATTGGCATTCTGATTCGTTAAAGTTGTTTGCTCAGAAGTTTCTGTCTAGTGGTTAGCCAGGCATTATTGACAGAAAAACATGGAATCCTGTGTCAGGGTTTGCATGTACAGTTGTGCAGGTTATACACTGCACAGCACAGGGTTGGGGCATTTGTACATGAGTCAGATATGAACAGGACAGTTTCTGGCTGGTGGCATGAAGTATCTTGAGGAAGGAGCACTTATTTCTATTTTTACAAAGGCTGTGTAAGGGCTTGCAATGGTTCTGTGGCCTGTTTCAGGCTCTCTTTAGAAATGAATGTTTGTTAAATTAATCAATAAGAGCCTGTACAGCCCAGCTAGCATGGTTCAATGGTTAAGCATCAACTTATGAACCAGAAGGTCATGGTTCAATTCCTAATCAGGGCTTGATCCTCAGTGTGGCACTTGCAGGAGGCAGTTGATCAGTGATTCTCATCATTGATGTTTCTATCTCTCTCTCCCTGTCCCTTCCTCCCTAAAATCAATAAAAAAAATTATGTTTTTTAAAAAGAGCATGTATAGCAATACTGTCTCATATGAGATTATATCATAATTTAGCACTTGCTTTTTGGTGACCTCATTAATATAGTACAGAGACCACAGAAAAAAATGGTAACAGTGAGGCAGTGAAGTGAAATAAATTATACAAAGTTTATGAGCTTTATATTTTACATATAGAAAAGCCTACTTCATTTCATATATGCATTTCTGGCCCATTTATCTGTTTTCTAGTCCAATAATTTAAAAAAGCAAGTAGAAAGGTGAGAAGCTGTATAGTTAAGTAGCTCACAGAAGGAGTAAGGTATCCAGTGGTGAAGATGGAAAACTTAAATTTAGAAAAAATAGACATAGGATCCCAAACAAATTTTTAAAAAAACTAATGTGGATTGGTGTCAAGCTAGGAAATGAAGAGACATTCCTACCTTATAAATGTGAGGAGAGTACTGTTTTGCCACAAAATTGGAAGTCATAATTTTGCCATAAAATTGGTAGTCATAAACAGAGTACTGTTTTGCCACAAAATTGGTAGTCAGTGGTAGTCATAATAATGATCTGGAGTTTATCAGAAAATGTCAAATAAAACATACCATACCCTCTTTAATGAACGAGTTTTGTAATATATTTTAGAAAGCTTTATTTTAAAACTAGAGGCCCGGTATCCTCTGGGGTCCCTCCACATGGCCTGCGGGGATGGGGCGGAAACTGGCAGTCCAACACAGCCTGCTCCTCTCAGCCCCACTGCGCCTGCCACCACCGCCACGTGGTAGGCTCGCAGCTGCTCCCATCCTAGGGTGATATCAGCGCTCATGACCTACCGTAGAAACGCCTCGGGCTTGTGCCCAGTCAGTCCAATGTTAATCCCAATCAGGTCCGGGTCCAGATGGGGGAGGGTTGAGCAGGGGGAGTGTTCAAGGGAGAGGCTCACGCTGCTGCAGCTATGCTCACCAGCTGTGAGCCCAGTGCATTGAGCATCTGCCCCCTGGTGGTCAGAGCGCATCATAGCAACCAGTGGAAAGGTCAAATGGTCACTTAGGCTTATCTATAATTATAAAAACATAATATGCTAATCAGACCAGGAAGCAGAACAAATTTACAGACATCATTCCAGACCTACTTCTGGAGGAAGCCTTGGTGGTGGGGGCTGAGGCAGAGGTGGTTAGGGGCGATCAGGCAGACAGGCAGAATGGTTACAGGTGATCAGGCAGGCTGGCAAGCAGTTAGGAGTGATCAGGCAGGCAGATGAGTGGTTAGGAGCCAGCAGTCCCCGGATTGCAAGAGGAATGTTAAATGGTTGACATCCCCTGCGAGGTCCCAGATTGCAAGAGGGTGCAGGCTGTGCTGAGGGATCCCTTACTCCCTTGTGCTGGATTTCATACACCCTGCCTTTAGTCCTAGATACTAAAGAGGTAATAAGCAAATTGACCCTCATGCCCTCGCACAAGATGGCCGATCCATGTGGTCAAATATGGCTGCCACAAGATGGCTGGCAGGGGAGGGTAGTTATGGGCGATCAGGCCAGCTGGGGACAGAAGTTAGAGGCAACCAGGCCAGCAGGGGAGGGCAGTTGGGGGGCACCAGGCCAGGAGGGGAGGACAGTTGGGGGGACCCTGCTGGGAGAGGTGGGCTCTTGTAGAGGACCAGGCCTGCAGGGGAGGGCAGTTGGGAGTGACTAGGTCAATAGGGGAAGGCAGTTAGGGGTGACCAGGCTGGCAGTGGAGGGCAGTTAGGGGCTACTGGGCTGGCAGGTGAAGGCATTGGAGATGACTGGACTGGCAGGGGACAGCAGTTGGGGATTACTGGGCCAGCAGGGGAGAGCAGTTGTCGGCAATTGGGCTGGCAAGGGAGGGCTGTTGTGTGTAATTGGGCCAGCAGGGGTGCAGTTAGGTGTAAATAAGGTTGGCAGGGGAGTGGTTAGAGGGTGATCAGGATGGCAGGCAGGTGAGCAGTTGGGAGCCAGCAATTCCGGGTTGTGAGAGGGATGTTCGACTGCCGGTTTAGGTGGGATCCCACAGGGATTGGGCTTAAACCGGCAGTCGGACATCCCCTAAGGGGTCCCAGATTGGAGAGGGTGCAGGCTGGGCTGAGGGACACCCCCTGCCGGTGCACAAATTTCGTGCACTAGGCCTCTAGTATACATAGATTTATCTTTATGGTTGAAAGTATTGTTGAAAGTATTTCCCTATGGAACCCCTCCACCCTGTACATGACCCCCTCTCCTTGCCACACTATTATCTGTGTCTGGGGGTTATGCATTCATGTAAATAAGTTTTTTGGTTAATCTCTCCCCACCCATCTACTCACTCACCCCTAAATTTCAACAAATGGTAGTACTTAAAGAGATTTGAAGTTTTACTTAATAAAATGTGCTACTTAGTTCTCTTTATGAAACCTACCAAGTACACATAAGTGGACCTCTTTTTCTAATGATGCCAGATAAATGAGGTTTCTCTGTTAGATCACACAGAGGAGCTGTTTCTACAAAGGATATTTGGGACAAGGAAACATAAAAACATTTGCTACAAATTTTCTATTTGTAGTTTCTCACATATAGTAAAGACTATGTTTGGACTATATACAACATATAATATTTACTACAGATTTTCCATTTGTGATATATAATAAATAGTAAAAACTATGCTTTTACAAATACTTTTTCTTACTAAAAATATTGGCTTCTTCAATCCAAAATATGAACAACTGTGTAATTTACTATTGAAAAATTTTCTTGAGCTCTAAGAATATTTTATATTTGTTTAATTATAGGTTGAAGACTTTAAGTGACAAGTCAAGAGAAGCTAAAGTAAAAAGCAAACCAAGGTAAGCTTGTGCTAAGATTTGATTTACTATGACCTAAATTTCATCCAACTTGTAGTTATAGTCATAATGGTATAATTAATTTAATGGGTTTTATATCTATTAAGTGCATCTGACTACAAAACAACTTATGATTATTTTAAATTTTGTAACACTGGAAAAATTTTTGATAAAATTGTAAAATGATTGAAAAAATGGTCAAGTGTAATTGTTTTACTCTGAAAATCAATGGCTATTTTTCATTAATCATTTTATTTGCATACTAAGAGCAAATTAAAAATCCTGCATTAAGAAGCAAATTAGTAATGGAATAGTACCTGGCAAGCAAACATCTTTAGCTCTGTTCACTTTTTAATAATGTAAATGTCACTTTCAACCTAGAGATAATGTGCTTTCAAAAATATTCTTATTTTGTACCATATTAAAGTGTTTATTATTATGTGCTGAAACTGATTTACTAGTATAAGGCCAAGTGATTGTTGATAGAATACAACAGTGTACTTTGAAATAAAGCAATATATTTCTCTAAAAGATTAGGTAAGTTATCATTAGTGATTTTAAAATATTTCATGTTACAATTGACAATGCCAAAATTCTTATATGTAACTTTTTTTAGTTGGCCTAAATTAGAAACAGTTTTAATAAAATAAGTGTTTCTTTTGGCAGGACTGTTTCATATTTGCCAAAGTACTCTGCTGGATTGGAATTACTTAGCAGGTAAGTGTTTTCATTTAAATAAGAAGATTGTACTTCTGACTATTTTCTTGTCTAAAATATTTTATAATTTGTAGATAGAAACTTTAATAATAATGAAATTTTATATGAACATAGTGATTGGGAATTATTTGCTTATTCCTTTCTCAGAAGGGCTTTTACTTTTCACTAGTTCATACAAAGGCTATTAAGACTGAGCAGAATAATCAAATTATATTTACTACTCATTACTTTATTATGCTTACTAGAGGCCAAGTGCACGAAATTTGTGCACGGGGATGGGGGGGTCCCCTTAAGCCCAGCTTTCTCTCCAATCCGGGACCCCTCAGGGAATGTCCAACTGCTAGGATCTAGCCTAAACCAGCAGTCAGACATCCTCTCACACTCTGGGACTGCTGGCTCCTAACCTCTCACCTGCCTGCCTGCCTGATCACCCCTAACTGCCCTCCTGACAGCCTGATCAACCCTAAACGCCTCTGCCTGTTGGCCTGGTCACCATTAACTGTGCCCTTTGCTGGCCTGGTCTCCCCCAACTGCCCCTCCTGCCGTCCTGACCGCCCCATGCATTCTGCTGTTCATTCATTTGGTCACCCTCACTAACCCCGCTGCCGGCCTGGTTGCCCCGCAGAGCCTGCTGTTTAGTTGTTTTGTCATCCCTCACTAACCCCCTGCCAGCCTGGACACCCCATGCAGCCTGCTTGCTGTTCAGTCGTTGGGTTGTCTGTCACTAACTCCCTGCCAGCCTTCTTACCTCTTCACAAGAAAGTTGATCTTGTTTTTTTTTTGTTTGTTTGTTTTTAATATATTTTATCGATTTTTTACAGAGAGGAAGGGAGAGAGAGAGCTAGAAACATCTATGAGAGAGAAACATCGACCAGCTGCCTCTTGCACACCCCCTACCGGAGATGTGCCCGCAACCAACGTACATACCCTTGATCAGAATCGAACCTGGGACTTTTCAGTCCACAGACCGACGCTCTATCCACTGAGCCAAACCGGTTTCGGCAGAAAGTTGATCTTGAATTTGAGTTCTCAATCATTTTCTTACTTTGATTCTTACTTTTTTATTATTTCTTCATGGTTTTATAGATATGGTTTTCTTAGCTATGACATCAAAAGCATAAGTAACGAAAGAAAAAATAGAAATATTGGACTTCAGAAAAATTAGAAACTGCTTTACTTCAAAGAACATGATCAAAAAAGGGAAAAAAATTACAATCTACAGAATAGGAGAAAATATTTGCAAATCATATTCCTGATGAAGGACTTGTATTTAGAGTTTATAAGTAAGTTTTATAACTCAAAAATAGAAAGACAAGCCAATGAACAGCCAAAGGATCTAAATAGATATTTCCCTAAAGAAGATATACAGATGGCCAATAAGCATATGAAAAGGTGCTCAACATCATTAGTCATCAGGGAAATGCAAATCAAAACCTCAATGAAATAATATTTCACACCCACAATAATAAGAAAGACAGGTAATAACAAGTATTGTTGAGGATATTGAGAAATTAGAAACTTTTTGTATTGCTGGTGGGAATATAAAATGGTGCAGCTACTGCGAAAAAAAGATTGGTAGTTTCTCAAAAAGTTAAACATAAATTACCATGTGACCCAGCAATTTCACTCCAAGAGAAGTAAAAACATATGTCAACATAAAAAATTGTACACAAGTATGCAGAGCAGTATTATTCATAAACCAGTATTATTTATGATAGACAGAAAGGAGAAACAGTACAAATATTCATCATCTGAATAGACAAACAAACTGTGGCATTTTCATACAATAGAATATTATTCAGTCACAAGGACTGTGGATGAAACTTAAAAACATATTAAGAAACCAACACAAGAGTCCACATATTGTATGAAATGTCCAGAAGAGATGAATTCATAGAGATATTAAATATATATGTGGTTGCCGAGGTTTGGTGGAGAGAAATGTGTAATGACTGCAAATGTGCATGTTTTTTGGAGGGATGAAAGTTTTCTGAAATTAGATAGTGGTAATAGATGCCCAAATTTGTGAATATACTACAAATACTGAATTATATACTTTGATAAAACTGTTAAATATGGTTTGATATGTAGTATGTTGTTATATGTATTTCTGTAGTTAAAAATGTGTTCTCTGACAGATACATAGTTAAGATGTGTGCGGTAGAAAGTATGGTTTTTCCTTATCTGTATTTATTTATTTATATATATATTTAAAATATTACATATGCATCCTTTTTCCCTGATTGACCCCCGCCCCACGACAAGCCCCCACCTCCCTAGTGTCCCTGTCCGTTGTTTATGCTAATATACATGCATACAAGTCCTTTGGTTGATCTCTTACCCTCCTCCCTCCCCTGCCTTCTCTCTGAAGTTGGATGGTGAGTTCACTATTTCTTTGTCTCTCGATCTATTTTTATTCATCAGTTTATATTGTTTATTGTATCCCACATTTGAGTATTTTTATTCATCAGTTTATGTTGTTTATTATATCCCATATTTATTTATCTTTCTCCTACTGGCTTATTTTGCTTAGCATAATGCTCTCCAGGTCTATTCATGCTGTTGCAAATGGTAAAGTTCCTTTTTTTTTTTTTTTATAGTGGCATAGTCTTCCATTGTGTAGATGTACCATAGTTTTCTAATCCACTCATCTGCTGATGATCACTTAGGCTGTTTCCAAATCTTAGCTATTGTAAATTGTGCTGCTATGAACATAGGGGTGCATGTGTCCTTTCTGATTGGTGTTTCTGATTTCTTGGGATATATTCCCGCAAGTGGAATTACTAGATCGAATGGGAGTTCCATATTTTAATTTTTTGAAGAAACTCCATATTGTTTTCCTCAGTGGCTGCACCAGTCTGCACTCCCACCAGCAGTGCACGAGGGTTCCTTTTTCTCTACATCCTCTCCAGCACTTGGCGTTTGTTGATTTGTTGATGATAGCCATTCTGACAGGTGTGAGATGGTACCTCATTGTCATTTTGATTTGCATCTCTCTGATGATTAGTGACTTTGAACATGTTTTCATATGTCTCTGGGCCTTCTATATGTTTTCTTTTGAAAAGATTATATTTAGTGATTTTGCCCATTATTTTATTAGATTCTTTATCTTCCTTTTGTTAAGTTGAATGAGTTCCTTGTAAATTTTGGAGATTAAACCCTTATCTGAGATAGCATTAGCAAATATGTTCTCCCATGCAATGGGCTTTCTTGTTTTGTTGATGGTTTCTTTCACTGCAGAAGCTTTTTATTTTAATGTAGTCCCATTTGTTTATTTTCTCCTTAGTTTCCATTGCCTTAGGAGCTGTATTGGTGAAGATATTGCTACAATATATGTCTGATATTTCGCTGCCTACTGAGACTTCTAAGATTTTTATGGTTTCCCATCTTACATTTAAGTCCTTTAACCATTTTGAGTTTGTTTTTATATATGGTGTAAGTTGGTGATCTAGTTTCATTTTTTTTTTTTTCATTTATCTGACAAAATTTCCCAGCACCATTTATTGAAGAGACTATATGGACTCCATTGTATGCTTTTGCCTTTTTTGTCAAATATTAATTGGGCGAAATGGCTTGAGTCTATTTCTGGGTTCTCTGTTCTGTTCCATTGGACTATATGTCTGTTCTTGTGCCAATACAAGAAAGTTTTGAGAACAATGGCTTTGTAATATAGCTTGATATCTGGTATTGCGATCCCTCCAACTTTGTTTTTCTTTTCAGGGTTGCTATGGCTATTCAGGGTCTTTTTTTATTCCAGATACGTTTTTGGAGATTTTGTTCTAGGTCTGTGAATTATGCCGTTGGTATTGTAATGGGATTACATTGAATCTGTAAATTGCTTTCTGTAGTATGGACATTTTAATGATGTTGATTCTACCAGAACATGGACACAGTATATTCTTCTTTTGCTTATGTCTTCCCGTATCTCTTTTTTCAATGTCCTATAGTTTTCTGAGTACAGGTCTTTTACATCCTTAGTTAAGTTTATTCCCAGGTATCTTATTTGGTACAGTGGTAAATGGGATTGTTTTTTCAGCTTCTCTTTCTGTGAGTTCATTATTGGTGTATAATCCTTATCTGTATTTATAATGACACTATACCTACATTTTGCTTTCTCTTTTCTCATTTGTTTGTTTGTTAATCCTCACCTGAGGATATTTTTCCATTGATTTTCATGGAGAGTGGAAGAGTGAAGGAAAGATGGAAAGAAAAATCAATATGAGAGAAACACATTGATTGGTTGCCTCCTGCATGGCCCCAACTGACCAGGGCCTGGGCCAGGGAGGAGCCTGTATCAAAGGTACCTTGTGCTTGACAGGATTCATACCTGGGGGAATCTTTGGTCTGCAGGCTGATGTCTATCCCTTAAGCAAAACTGGCTAGGGCTCTTTTCTCATTATTTATTTGGTTTCTTTTTATGGTTGCTAAATTAGAGATTTGCCTTTTCTTCTCAGAAATGAAAGTGCTCAATTTGATAATAATTTCCCGCTTGGTTTTGTTGTGTGAAGAACATACATGAACCTGAAAGGAAGTATAGTAAAATTCAGTCAGAGTTATAATGTTTACTGTTTACATTTTATCTTTATTTTTTATTTTTTTAAAATTTTTTAAAATTTTTTTATTTATTATTATTTTTTTAATCAATCTTTATTGTTCATATTATTACAAAGGTTCCTCATTTCTTCCCCCCTCCACCAGGTTCCCACCCCACCCTCCGCCCCCTCCCCACCCCCCATTGTCCTCATCCTTAGGTGCACAGTTTATGTTCAGTCTCTTCCTCCCTCCCTTTCCCCAAGATCAGTCAGTCCACTCCCCTCCCATATTGCCGACTCTACTATAATGAACCGCTATTATTGTTCATCAGGTTTTTCAATCTCCTTTTTTTGTTGTTGTTGTTTTTGTTTTTTTTAATTAATAAACTTTTACACTTCTAAGAATAAATTTTAAAATCTAATAATTTTAAACCTTGTTTTTTTCCTGCCCTGGGAATTGAGAGCAAA